TGTATGCTGATGTCGTAGGAATTTAATTCTCCTGATCCGAATGCTGATGTTGTTGATATTACACCTCTGCTTAACCTCTGCATGACTTGTAGCAAATAAACAATGTGCACATCCCTGTAAATAACTAAAAAACAAAACAAAACAAAGTATATGTGCAAGCACTGAAAAATCTTTATTGTGGTGGATACTTCTTTGCTACAGCTGAAATTGCATTGGAACTTGAACATTAACTGTCTATCAAGCCAAAACTTACACATTTACAGAATTTCAGCTAAAAATTGCACAAGTCATTTGATTTAGCCTACAAAATGTCAAATGCTTTATAATCTGATGTTTCTATTGGTAGGGCAACATCATTTGGCTCTTCACAACAGTTAGAAATCACACAAAAAAAAATATTTCTGATGTGTCAGTGCTGTGAATAGGATTTGCTCATGTCTACCCAGAGCAACAACTTGACACACACACACACACACACACACACACATATAAATTGTAATCACAGTGTTTCCTTTACCTTTACAGAGTTTTAGTAGCTCAACAATCACCATACCTATATTGTAGCTTATTTGCCATACCTATGATTTTTCCTAAACAAATACTGCACACTGCGAGTAGTATGTTCCTACATGGTTGAAAGTGAGAAAAATATTGACCCTTGACACCAAGAAAAAACATTGGGATCAAACATAATCTGGGGATTTGCAAAATCATCAGTCACACTCTCTTTAGTCTCCATTTTAGCCTCTTACTACCCTTTAAATCTCTGAATGAATAGTAAAGCTTTGCAATATACGATCCAATATTAATGTCAAATCTCCTTCCTCTGCCTACATTGTGGTACACTATGGCAGCATAAGGCCTTGATCCTGCACCAGTATTTCACTCATCAGCTACATTCAGCTCCAAAATAGCCTCTTCCCTGACTCGCACACACATATACAAAAAAAGGATCTGTCCCTCCAGCACAAACATTTTTAATGAGACCCGTTTCATACCAGCGCTGAATTCTCCCTTCCATGTCTGTCGAGCGCATAAACAATTTCTGCTCCAAGGACATACTGTAGTCGCTGACTGAAGTCATTCATCTTACACCACCTGTCACACAGATGTCCATCTTCTTCTTCTACTCCTTTAGTGCTTCGATTATTGTCTTTGTTGTTTTCATTATTGTTTTCTCTTGTTGTCGTGCAGATCAATGAAATCTGCTGAAAAATTTTATTTAGTCTTTGTTACGAAATTCCTTCAAGTTACCATCATGCAGTAGGTGTCATGAAAAGAAAACGTTCAATTAAAGAGAGAGAGAGAGTCTTTTCTTTTTATAGTACAGAGATGAAATTTTACCAGTATAAGAGAATACGATGCAGTTAAGGTTGGATAAAACCATCAATAGAACCAGATACAATGAGTAAAAGAACCACTGAATTATGATATCAATAAAGGGCATCTGACTCTGCCTTTTTGAGGGGTCCTGTGTCATATATTACTCAACATAGTGCCATTTTATCATCACAATAGGGGTTCAACTGTCAATTTTGGCTCATTGATCCTCTAACAGGATGATCCAGCCATGAATGCTGTCATGACTAAAAGATGACTTAACTGCCTGTTATAGTGGATCAGAACTGGCTTTGATCCTTCTAACTGCACTTGGAAGGTCATTCAACTCTTTGGGGAGCCAAGAGTTGAAATTAGTTTGAGTAACAACCGAGATTAGAGGATTTTTTTTATAAATCTGTGATGAAATCAAAGTTTGCCATGCCCTTGTTTTTTGGCTGTGGTGACCCGCTGTGACCAATGCTTGAAAACGAGCAGCAGCAGCGTGGCAGTGACGGTAAGTGTGGATGAGTCTGGGTGCTGATGGGCAATCAGTCATCCTCACTGCTGAGATGAGAGCAGGTTCCACTGCAATGATCCCGAGGCAGCAATGTGGAGGGAGGAGAAGGGGAGAGACACCAGGGCGGCAGGAGAGTGGAGGTTAGTGAGATAAAGTGCAACAGAGTGGAAAAGACAAAGGCAAAGTTTGATCACGTCCCTACCAGGCACAGAACTGAGACCTGACCCACACAGACAGGGAACGATGAGGGCACGAGGAGCTTTGTAGTGAAGCAGATCTTGGTTTAAACTTTAACTTGTAACTTTAAACCTCAACAGGGTTTCAAAAAATAAACAAAAAAATAGTAGGTGCTGGTACAAAACAGGTATTGAAACAACAGGCACTTTTGAAGGACTGTGTTACATCCTTTTGCTTAACAAAGTTGCATTTTCAGTAGATGTGAAGGAAATTGGTTTGTGCCTCTGAACAGGTGATGGTTTTTATTTGCTCAGCAAACAGTCTGATTACAGCTTATGACAATCACAGTCATTCGGGAAGCAATTTGTGCCTTGCAGTTATTCATCAAATGTCAGACGTTAGGGGCTTGATGACTTTACGATTAGGTGGGCGGCTTGTAATTGTATAATTTATGTGAGAATTATCCATGTGCAGTAAATCTTTGGATTGTACTGTACATGCAGTCTATTAATAGACTTGTGTTTAAGCAGCTCAGTAGTGTCAGATTCATAACACATGCTGTGAAAGACTTTGAAGCAAATTGTTGTTTTGTTTACATAAAGAATGGATTGCCAATTTTTCCTGAGAGGAGAAAAATGGACAACAAAGAAGTACAGTTTGAGTACCTTCCACTTGAACTCTGTGCTGTCAAAAAGAGGAAGGTTTCTGCTGACTCTTCCCCCTCCCTTCCCTGTCTCTCCCACCAAAATGTTTTTATTCCAAGGTCTTTTCTTTTCTGAAGTTTTGAATAAAACATGACACTCAACTCAGCTGTGTCCCTGCTAATGTACTTTCCATACAGTTCGTTGTACATTGTTGCTGAAGCACATTTAAATTTGCTCTTGTGTGCAACTTGAGAGGTCACCACTGTCTGATGTGTCGGAAATCGACTATGGAGAAAATAGCCCATTTATCCATTCATCCATTAACTTCTGCTTATCCGGGTCAGGTTGCGGGGGCAGTAGACGGAGCAGGTCGTCCCAGACTTCCCTCCCCCCGGTGACACTTTCCAGCTCTGCCTGGGGTGTCCCGAGGCGTTCCCAGGCCAGCTGAGAGATATAGTCCCTTCAGCGTGTTCTGGGTCTGCTCCGGGGTCTCCTCCCAGGTGGACCTCCAGAGCAAGCCTCCCCGGAGGCATCCGAATCAGGTGTCCATACCACCTCAACTGGCTCCTTTCGACGTGAAGGAGCAGCAGCTCTACTCCGAGCTCCCTCCAGATGTCCGAGCTCCTCACCCTATCTCTAAAGCTGAGCCCAGCCACCCTGCGAAGGAAGCTCATTTCGGCCGCGATCTTGTTCTTTCAGTCATGACCCAAAGCTCATGATCATAGTGAGGGTAAGAAAGTAGATGAACTGGTAAATCAAGAGCTTCGCCTTGTGGCTCACCTCTCTCTTTATCACGACAGTCCAGCACAGTGCCCGCATTACTGCTGACCCCGCAGCGAGCCACCTGTCCATCTCGCGCTCCATTTTCCCATCACTCGTGAACAAGACCCCGAGATACTTAAACTCCCTCGCTTGAGGAAGCAACTTCCCCCCACCCAGAGGTGGCAGTCCACCGGTTTCTGGCAGAGAACCATGGCCTCGGACTTGGAGGTACTGATCCACATCCCCGCTGCTTCACACTCGGCTGCAAACCGCTCCAGTGCGTGGTGAAGGTCACGGTCTGATGGAGCCAACAGTACCACGCCATCTGCAAAAAGCAGATACGTGATCCTGAGGTTGCAAAGCTCTTTAACTGATTTAGTAGGTAGCCTCCGCACTAGCTGCATTTTTTCAAGCATTTCAAGCATTTGCATTGATGTCACAAACACAACGGAGCTTTCCATGTGGTCTGAAATAAAACTAATGGTGGCCTATATGTCCACAACAGCATTTATGGATGATAGAGGTCGCTACTTTCCATCACTGAGAAGTACTGTAGTTACTTTAGAAGCTACAGGGGCAGAAACGAGTTGGTTTTCAAACATGCTGTGACACCACAACCATTGTTTATGACAAGCTGTTTCATGGGAGCCTGAGGTCAAAGTTCTTGTAAATTTCAACTACAGGCCTCTCTTTCTTCAAAAACTGTCAAAATCTTTTTATTCACTGCACTCTCTAGCATTGTTATCCACCATTCTTTGCTGGATCAATTCTTTGCATCATGGACAGCAATTTATTCATTGTCATAATGATGTTTGAGATATCATATGAAAGCAAATCAATTGGACCTTACATATAGATTTGAATTTCTAACTTTACTGCTTTTTTTTTTTTTGCATTGAAATTATGTATCCAATTTTTTGTTTATCTCTAAATTTAGCTCATCAACATTTCAATAACTTATTTTAAATTTGATTTTCATCTCTCAAAAATTCTAATCAAAATGCTTGAGTTCCTTGAAGACGTTTCACCTCTCATCCAAGAAGCTTCATCACTTCTGATTGACTATTTGGGAGTTCCAGTTACTTATATCCTAAAGGAGCCATTAACACCTGAGTTTCAATTGGGGGTTGTTACCCCTCCCCCTCATTATGTGAGTTGTTAGTGCTCCCCCTGCCACAAAGGGGTTCATTAGGGTTTTTTGTGGCTAGGTGTGAATGCGGTTTCATCTTCCCCGGGAGAGACCTTAGGACTGAATTGTAAACAGGTGAGAGATGATGACCTCCACCTCTGTTGAGAGAGTGTCTTGGATTTAAAGTGTACTTGTAAAATGTAAAGTTAGATATTCAAACCCACCAACACCCTGAGACAGAAACTGGTTCACCTTAAGGACAAGACACTGAGCCACACACAAAGCAATGTGGTGTATGCAGTCCAGCGCAGCGACGAATGCCATGACCTGTACATCGGGGAGACAAAACAACTGCTCCACAAGCGCATGGCTCAACACAGAACAGCCAGCTCCTCAGGACAGGACTCAGCAGTCCACCTGCATCTTAAGGACAAAGGACACTCATTCAAAGACTGTACAAGCTGCTTCACAACGACACTAAGTGGCAGTGGTGAGAGGAGCAGGAGGGAGCTTGTAGGGAAATGAAAGAACTCCTCCACTCAGCGACGCTCCTAGTTCCCTTTGACCCAGATAAGGAAATAACCCTTTCATTCGACGCTTCGCCATATGGTGTTTGGGCAGATCTTTCACACATTATGGACGATGGGTCCGAAAAGCCGGTTGGTTTTGTTTTACGTACGCTGACAGCAGCGGAGAAGGGATACTCTCAGCTGGACAAAGAGGGCCTAGCCATTGTCTTTGCTGTCAAGTGCTTTCATCAGTATCTCTATGGCCGTGCATTCAAAATCTATACGGACCATAAGCCACCGATGAGACTGTTTAGCAAGACCAAATGTATCCCGCCACTAGCCTCAGCCAGGATACAGCGCTGGGTGCTCACACTGTCAGCCTACCCGTACACCATAGTGTACAGAGCGGGTAAGGACAATGCAAACGCAGACGCGCTGAGTCGGCTGCCATTACTGGAAACACCCGCTGTGACACATGTACCTCCAGAGACTGTTTTCATATTGGAGAGGCTGGCAGACACACCTGTAAAAGCCTCCTGCATAAAGCAGTGGACAGAGAGGGACCCAGTCCTGTTCCAAGTCAAAACTTTCCTTTTGCAGGATTGGCCCAGTGTGGTGGAAGGAGAGGAGTTGAGGCCTTATGCTAAATGCAAAACAGAGCTGAGTCTGCGGGATGGCTGCATCTTTTGGGGTGCGAGGGTCATCGTGCCTCCCCCAGGTTGTGCACGGATCATGGACGAATTACATGAGTCTCATCCAGGGGTATCGCAGATAAAAAGCCTTGCAAGATCCTATGTCTGGTGGCTGAGACTGGATCAGGATCTGGAGAACAAGGTGAGAACATGCACTCATTGTCAGTCCAATCAGAACATGCCTCAACCAGCCCCCTTGCACCCATGGGAGTGGCCAGACAGGTTTCATTTGGACTTTGTTGGTCCGTTCAAGGGGCAGATGTTTCTTATAATGGTAGATGCACACTCTGAGTGGATAGAGGCCCACATCATGAGCAACATTACAGCCCCCACAACCATTGAAAAACTCAGGCAAGTGTTTGCAGTACATGGTTTGCCTGACAGAGTAGTCACTGATAATGGCCCAACATTCACCAGCGAGCTGTTCAGTGAGTTCATGCAACAGAATGGCATTCATCACATACGGACAGCTCCTTTTCACCCCGCCTCAAATGGATTGGCCGAGCGGGCTGTCCAAACAGTGAAGGAGGGCCTGAAGCGGATGACAGGAGATTCGCTCAGCACTCAGCTTTCTCGTTTCCTGTTTAAATGCTGCCTCACACCACAAACTACAACGGGACGTGCGCCAGCGGAGATGCTGATGGGGCGTAGGCCCAAGTCGAGGTTGGACCTGCTGTGTCCAGACATGAAGGCAAAAATGGAGGGAAAGCAGGAAAAGCAGAAAGACCGACATGATCAACATGCACGGGACAGACAGCTGAAAACAGATGACTGTGTCTACGTGAGGAACTTCAGCAGCAATAACAACCACCAGTGGCTACCTGGAGTTGTTCTCAAGCGTAGTGGGCCAGTCTCCTATGTTTTTAAGTTGACGGATGGACGGATTTTCTGCAGACATCAGGATCATGTACGCTTGTGGCATGATACAGTTGTGGAGAAAGACAGTGTTGCAGAGTTTCCAGTGGTGAGACCAACAACTGTGGAGGTGGGTCAACCAGGGAGAGAGACACAGACAGAGGTTTCTAAGTCATCCAGAGAGGAAGAACCCTCTCACACTGACACCCAGACCCCTCTCAGTGTCACAACACCAGAGCCACCCAAAACATCTATACCAGTAGGGAGTGCTGGGTCATAGAGGGTAGTGCGAAGGTTACAGCGCACTCGCAAGCCTTCAGACAGACTCAGTGTTTGATGGGACAGTTTACATTGGACTGGATGTTATAGCTGTCATGTGTTTTTGTATTTACAGCTGTTGAGACAATACTTTATGTTTTGAGTGTACCCCAGCTAACGAAAAAAAAGTGACTGTTTTGTTTCTGCTAGTAATTCCCATTTTGGGGAGAATTTTGGAATTTAAAGTGGGAGAGATGTTGTGATGTGAGTATTATTAAGTTAATCTTATCAGAATAAGAGCAAGTGCTATGCGCCCACCAGGGGTCAATGTTCCTTATGTTGCATTCATTTTGAAGGAGACTTCTGCTCTGATGAACACTGCCGCCCCTGATGTTGTTGTAGGTTTTGACCTCCCGCCGACAGAGATGTTAACACAGTAGCTCTAGTTGTAATGCTAATGTGGCGAGCGGGGCGTGCAGGGGCGCTACTAATAGATTGCCTAACTGATGGACAAAGGGGAAATGTGTTGACCGACAACGCCACCTGGGTTTAAGGTTCTCACCCAGGGAACCGACCTACTCCTTGTTCACACACACAGCAAAGCACACAGGTTCGCAACACACTGGGGGGAGACGTGGTTCTACATTATAAAAAGAGATTTTATTTTCATACAATCGTTAAAATACAGTGACAGAATTTAAAATATAGAATTTAAATCACCAAAATCCCACATCCCACAAGGCAGATTCAAATGAAAACTAAGGAAAACCATGCAAAGCAAACGAGAAATCAAGAAAACCATGCAAAACAAAAGAAATAAACTCAAGCAATATTAATCTTTGCAAACACATGCAAAAATAACGAAAACAAACCCAAAATACAAAGCAAAACAAAATCACACAAACAAACTAAACAAGGCAACACAAAGCCCAACACAGGTAACAAACAAAAACAACAAACCAAATGAAGCGAAGCCAAGCAAAGAAAAAGCTACGCTAAGCAAGGCAAACTTAAACAAAATATAACACAACAAACCAAAATAATACAAAAACAATATTACAAAAGCAAGACAAAGAATGCTGCCATGCAAGGCGAGGGCAAAGTGGAGCAGAGTAAAAAAATGCAAGCGGAGCAAAGCAGCAGAGCGACACCACCCAGAGCAAGCCGCAGAGAGACGGCGATGCTAACGGCGATGCTAACGGCGGCAAAGCGGCGGAGCGCCGCTAACCCGGCAAAGCAGCAGCGGTCCCACTATTCAGCCACACCTTCCAGTCACAGCCTCTGTTCAACAAGTGTAGGTTAAATACAAACCAACAGATAGATAAAACTAGGTCAGACTGTTTACCTACCATTCAGCTGTGTTCAGTTAGCACCTGAAGGAGAGGGACACACTCTTATGTAGCGGCAACAGCAGAAGACTCCCAAATTGCACTGGCCGAACAGGCAGCCGCAAGCCAAACGTGACGGCACGGGGTCCGTGACACATGCGGCTACAATAAAAGAACACCAATTACCATAGAGCATGTAAGTGAGGCCAGATGCTGGCGAAGCAGCCACTGCTACGTTACCTGCGTGGAGCGCCGCCGGTACCTGACAGCCAAGAGCAAGGCGACCCGGAAGTGGGCGGTCTCAGAGCCAAGAGCGAGAGATCCCAAGATGGGCACCGTACCCTTACAAGGAGTGCCCTCAAGCCGTGATAGGCTGAATAGCATTCTCCATTAGGAGCAGAAATTAGGCTTCATCCTGCCACACTAAGTTTGCCCGTGTTTAGATAAAGTGCAACTTCGGCTACGTTGTTGTCGAGTGGTTCTTTTCCAGCTGAAGTTACCACAAAAATTAACACTGTTGTACAGTCAACCAGGCTCTTGCTGTACTTGATTAAACAGCCAGTGTTGATGTCACTAAACAAGACATGGGCAGTGTTAACTTTGTCAACGAAAACTTAAACGAAAAGTTTTCATTGACGACCCTTTTTTCCGTGACTAATTTGTGATGAGAACACAAATTTAATAAGTACTGACAACAAAAATTAAAACGAAATCTCCGTTCATTATCAGTTGACGAGTAAAGACGTGACGAAAAAGATGACGCTGGCCTGCCAAACAATCTGGATTACAACCATCCTCTATGCCAGTGTTTCTCAAAGTGAGGCGCACCCCCCCCAATTCAAATTTGTTTTTCAATTAACATGATCATCAGTGGTATGGACACTTAAAATGCACTCAGTTCGTAGAAAAGTCTGTTCATAAAAATAAATAAACAAATAAATAAAAACACTAACAATAGAAAACCTTTCATTGTGGGCAAACATGTTTAGAACGCGCTTTCCACTGTTTTCCAACAAATGTTTGGTCGCTCACCTGTCAGAGGAGCTGCCCTGCAGACACCTGGTAGCAGCTATTGTAGCAGCATGTCAGGCGTTCAGGGAATATCGGTAAAATGTACCATCCACCGGAGCAGCATGTGAGGTGTTTAGGGAGCATCGGTAAAATGCACCATCGACCCATGGGCATTTTCAGCAATTGTTTAGCCTGTGTGAAGTTAATGACTGATATTAGAAGAGGACTGGAGACAAAATAAATATATTTTAAGGTTGAAACATTTAACAAATATCAAGTCTTCTATCACTGAAGATCACTGCAACATAACTAAGTTATGCAAAAACAGCTATTCATCATCATGCATGGTGGATTCATAGTTGTGGCAATGCTGATCCAAAATAAGGGAGTACAGTGACCAAATCATTAGCTGGTACGACCAATGAAGAAAGTTGGTAACACCAGTGTTATCATTGGAAAAGTTAGTCTGGAGCCCTGTAACAGAATCGCAAGAAACCACATCCAATAGCGGAGGATCTCCTGCTGCCCACTGCTCTTGATATGGTGTCAATAATGACTGATGAGACTACCACCGCAAAATTGAAGGCTATCCTCCCCTGTTACTTTTACTGATCACTGAGCAAGTTGTTGCTGCACTATTTGACTGCTCATGATATTTATTTTTAGTAAATTTAAACTGGCTCATTTCATGAATATTTCAGGCCCTGGGGGGCCCTGGGGGGCCCTGAAAGATTTTTGTCCTCCGAAGTGGGGCCAGAAAGAAAAAGTTTGAGAACCACTGGTTTAGATGATTTAACATATAGTTACAGGTATGCTTACAATGGAGCTTTTACTACCATGACAAACATCCTTTTGCAAAATCTATGACAGTAAAACAAAACTGTCAAAATACTTAAAAAGACTAAAATGAGGCTAAAATTAGACTAAAACTAAAACTGATTTCCCCAGACTAAATTTTAACTAAAAGAAAATAAAACTAAAAGATAAAAATGTGACTTCAAATTAATCCAGTCTTTGGTGAGTGACAAGGGCTAAAATTAAATTAAAAATTCTTGTCAAAATTAACACCGGACATGGGTTGTAGTAACTTCAGTTTATACACATATTGCTTATTGTTAGTTATCAATTTTAAACCTTTTTTTCTGGTTAATAAATAAGTACTCTTTGATACAGTCTTACAGAGAGCCTTGGCAAAGAGGTCAGGCCAGCGGTTCAGCCCTTCAGTTGGCTGGACCACCACTTCTAATGGAAATGACCAGGTAAAGACATAAAGAAGCAGATGATATTTTAGATTCAAGCCCTATGTATACATATTTTGGCATGTTGCCATTTTTTTTAAAAAATCCACCTGTCACCTATAGTAAGCAGTGATAGACATAGTATAGTGTTTTGCATTATGTCTCTTACCAGTATTGTAGATATAAACATCAGCAAAAAAAAAAAAAAAAGTAAATCCTGGGATGATTTGTGACCACTCTGTAGAATAGATAAAACAGGGTTTCACATTAGGCTAACAACTGATTTGCTTCCATAATATAAACAGCTATTATTTTGACTAGTAAAAGCCGAATTACTAATATCGCACCCTGACGTTTTGACTAGTCCAAATGATGTTGTAGGTTTCTCAAATAAACATTTGGAGATTATTCTCAGTGTAACTACGACTAGACAGAATAACATTGTTGATCTCTGTAATGTTAATTCTGCAAATTAAAACTAAAGGTTAAATCAGCATATATGCATTCATGTCGTATATGATTCATGTAATCTAAAGTTACTGCTAGCTTAGGTTATCCACTTTTTGAGTGGCTTTCCCAAACACTGTTAAAATTCAAGATGCAAACCTTTTCTAAAAATGGCAGCTGTATGAAAACACATCAAGACAGGCTGTCTTTAGAAATTAACACCAACAAGCTTTACTTTTCCCTCTGAGTGCTGTGTTGCTGTTCGTAACCATTACAACACCCAAAAAGGAAGTCAAATGGCATCTTAAATGAAAAATGTAATGCATTTATAACTTCTGTCATTCAAGACAGTTTTAAATTTTAAACAGCTGTCATGGTGAGACGAACAAAATGAATATTTAGCTTGACAAATGCAAAGCAGTGCTTTTTAAATGCTCACCAGGACTGATTGCAACTTTTAAAGCTGAAGGAAAGAAAACATCTTCTCCATTGCTGCCTGTAGGCGTACTGTATACATCAGCAAATACACGTTTTCTTCTCAGCAGAGTGCTTATTAAAGTGAACTTGGGGAACATAGTGAGAACCAGGTTGCAGCAGGAAAACATTTCACAGCAGTGTGGTTCCACAGTGGCCCCAGCTGAGTCAAGCATTTATCTGCTGTCGATGGGAGAAGCAGCACTGACCTTATAGTTGGGGGGGGCAGATGATATAAAGACTACAACTAACTAATATAATTTGTTTTTAGCCATGCTACTGCTAAGGCTCTGGGGAAATATTGTACAGATCTCGATAGTCTGCAGACGATGTATCCTGCTGACTTCACTAACTGTTTCTACAAATGATGTCTGAAGGTTGAGTAACAATGACTCTGGGATCTACTTTTCTCTGTCACTACTAGTAGGCCAACTTTTGTACCTATCCTGTGAAATATCTCAGGATCAACAGGACACATTGGGACACAACTTAGTACAGATACTTATAGTTCCCAGGAGATAGAT